ATAAAAGCATGTTTCTATTATTACAATTTGAAGACGGGATATATTATATGTTTCAGATGTTTAAATACTGTTGATTCATTTTAAAACATGATGTGCTTGTGTTCAATAGAATTAAAATTAAGAATATATTTCTCAATTGAATCATAGTCAAGGTTATTGAATTTGATCCAATCACGTTGACCGATTTCAAACATCATGCAATACCATTTAAACATCTGAAATCACGGTTATTTGAGCAAAACATTAAAATAGTGATAATTTTATCATAAAACTACAGATCTTAGGAAAATTAAAGTCACAAACTATTTTTATTGGCGATAGATCCTTTCCAACAGAGCAAGTTATTGAATTTTTAAAATAATTACGTGTTCTGATATGTGCCATTACGTAGTGCACTAATAGTAGTATGTATCGGTGGTTTCGAGGACCATATCAATTTCAAGAATGTATTATAGCTTTTAGGTATTATTTAATTATCATTACTATTCTAAACAGTGATGATGTGTTACAAAAATGACAAGCAAATCAGCTAATATTTCATATTAATGATAATTTTACCACTAATAAGTTGCATTAAATAAGAATGTCTTTACAAACCTACCGTCCCTGCTGTGAATATATCTCTCTTTCATCATACATTCGTTAAAATGATAACATTATTTATAACTGTTGTCGTTCCGAAATGCGCCCAGTGTGGCAATGAGTGCTATGAAGACATTTAAATATTATTATTGTTATTTATGCTTATGATTCTTTTTATGTCAAATAATAAATATTGAACAACGGATGCACGCCAGTATTTAGTTCTATAGCTACTCAATTTGTGATTTGATTATCTAACATTGGATGACTCTTACGATAACAATTTTACTTTTTTGTGCGCTATATGTATTTTGTGAACTTGTATAGTCTCTTGATGAGGAGAGTTAGGTTTAATGAATCAAAAAAAAGTTTTCATTTTTTTTATTAATGTATAATCTTTTTCTTGTTCTGACTTTGACTTAAATTTACCATTATACATATAACTTGTTTTTTTTGTATTAAATTTTAGATATCACATATATCTATTACATCTCTTGTTAGCCCTTGAATAAATCTGTTTGAATACTATTTCTACGTTGCTTCTTTTTTATTTCGTTTGAGATCCACGTTTTAATAACTGTTGGAGAACGTTCTTTGAAGCACGTATATTGATTAGATAGAGTTTGGATAGTCTTAAGCGAGGGATAAGTTTGAGTCTTTATATTAGTGCTGAACAGTTTCATAGCAACATTCTTCTCTTCATCAGTCCATCGTTTCTTGCTCTTGACTGTACCAAAGGGTGAAGCTGGAAGGATGTATAAGGTTAAGAATGCATATGATTTCATATAACAAATTAAAAAATAAATTTCCTTGAACATAGCATATCCCAAAGATGCAACTAAATGTACATAAACATATTAAATATGTAATTGAGAATAATAGCCGATTCAAATACTTACTTGATCGTCTTTTATCCTTCTTTGGCTTTATACTTTCGCCAAGTGCTTTTCTTTTACGAGATATATTTCCTGCGGCGTTTAATAAATTTTCAAAGATTTCCTCGTCATCAGAATCATCACGTACCTGTATCGCTGTTGTATGAATATATAAAATTACGACGTTCAATTAAAATATGAAGTACAATCATAATTAATTTCAATATATAGAATATTTTACTAAATTTACAAGTAGACTTTGGTACCCTCTTTGGGTTACGATTCTGTAGTTGTTTTGGTATTTCTTCTTCACGATCACGCAAATGTTCATTATTTTCTACATTCAGATGATCTTCTTCGTCCTCGCTATCTGCAGAATCATCCGTCTCCTGCTCGTTTTCATTACTTCCTTGTGCCAATTCCAAAACTTTAGATATTCTCAAAATTTCACGGCTCACTATAGGCTGTCGGTAGTGTTCTCGGTGAATCTTATCTGCATGTCCCATAAAATTTGCTACATCGTTTATTTCATTCTCAGATAAGTTTAGATTAATGCAGTTTGTTGCAACATGTTTTCTTAATGTGGTTCCAGTTAATTTAGCTGGAAAATCAACACCTGAATCCTTGGCAAATTTGCGCAATAAATAACAGGCCCGTAGATACTTGTTTCTTTTTTTTTCAACTGCAGGAATACCGAACACAAAACGATTTTTAGAAGGGACTCCAGCTTCGTCCCGATACTTTAATATCATTTCAATGCAATTCAGTAACTCCATCGATAATAAAACAGGCACAGTCCTATTAAGTTTTCCTCGGATTACAAAGCGTACATATTTCTTTGCAGCTGTTTGAGAATCACTAGATAAATTTTTCAATAACTTGGCATTGATACGCTCGTAGCTTTGAAAGTCTTCAATAAACATTCTTTCTATTTCACCAGCTCGACGGCGATTAAAAACTTGAACTGATGTAAGTGTAGTTTGTGCTAGCATAAACCATGCCTCAAGAGTAAATTCTTTCTCCAAGCTTTGATAAGCTGAATTTCTTTTCTCCTTTAAATACGCGAATAATTTTTTGATATCCTTGAAAGATGGAAGTTCAACCTTCTTCCGTCGTTTCTGTTGAGTCTGTGTCTCTGTAACAGTCTTGTTAACAGTATGGCATATATCCTCTACAAGAAGTTTCAAAAAATCTTCCGCATTTGTTTTTTGCGTAACATCATGCCGCTTGATACAGTCGGTTACCAGCAAATTGCCAATTTTTTTAATTAGCGACCCTAAATTATAAGCTGTCGATGGTGCTCTGTATGTATTTGTATTTTCGTCAAATCCAGCGACAATATTTATTGCCATAATGACGGCATCATAAAATTTGGGATCATACAGAGTGGTAAATTCGGTGATATCATTGTCAATATCCTTTAACGCAGCCAAAAAGCGTCCTAATAGTCTTAAATTGGCCCTAATCATTTCATGCTGATGTTGTAATCGGTATTTGCAGCACATTTTGTTTCCATACAATATGATCAACCTATCGTACCGTATAAGACGTACTATTGCATCCTCGCGTAAAATAGGAAAGACTTCTCTTCTTAAGCACTTGGATGCTTCAGGATGGATACGCCCAACTATTTTACGACCCATTATCATAAGAGATCGGGTCTTTTTTCCATTATATCCAAAACAACGTTGAGCATGATGCCTAATATTATTACTAGAGAAAAACCCTTTACAATTTTGGCATACTCGAAAATCGCCAGCAGTTTTCTTCAATTTAGAGTTAGGCCTTCTGCAGACAAGTAATTCTCCATCATTTACGTTGTTATTAGTATTGAAATAAAAATTACAATTTTTCCTTATTGTATCAATGATCTTTTTTCTCTCAGGATTTTTCTTTGGCAAGACAGAAAATCGTTTTACATCTTCTATATCGTTATGAACGTTTTCAAGATGACGAGCGAATTTGCTTTGCAATTTTTTGCAATACATGCAAAAAGTTTTTTTTGATAGACCTCTTTTACCGTCTGATATGTCAACAAACATGTCTGCATCGTCACGTATGTATCTTTCAGGTGTGTTTCCTTTTGAGGAAATATCGAGACATGAATTTCTCGACGAAGTTTCGTTTTGTTTTTCTTCAATTCTTTGCTCCTTATTTTCAGAATCATTGTCCTCTTCTGATGTATTGCCTATGGAGATATTTGACTCTGATGGCTGATATTCTGATGCACTTTCGCTACTCACTTCCGCACCTTTGATTGTAATAGGGGAGTTAAACTATAAATATTGCATGAAGGAATCTACAATTTGAAATTAAAATTGAACTTGTCTTTATGGTGCTTTGCAAATGTTGTTTTAAAGTGATTATTAAAGTAAAAAATGAATGCTTATTAGGTAAAAATCTTGAACAATTGTACGAAAAGACACGTCTATATAATAAATGAAAAACTAAACTTTTGAAATTATACGTACCACCTATAGGTATTTCTTCGAAAGTTACGGCTCTTTCTTGTACTGGCGTACTAGTTGCAGCTAAATTAGAATTACCATCAACATTTTTCAAATCGAAGTTAGATTCACTTGTATTATTTAAAATGACCGTATTTGAATTATACGTACCACCTATAGGTATTTCTTCGAAAGTTACGGCTCTTTCTTGTACTGGCGTACTAGTTGCAGCTAAATTAGAATTACCATCAACATTTTTCAAATCGAAGTTAGATTCACTTGTATTATTTAAAATGACCGTATTTGAATTATACGTACCACCTATAGGTATTTCTTCGAAAGTTACGGCTCTTTCTTGTACTGGCGTACTATTTGCAGCTAAATTAGAATTACCTCCAACATTTTCTAAATCGAAGTTAGATTCAGTTGAATTATTTAAGATGACCGTATTTGAGACTTGAGCGTTAACGTCAAAACTTTTGTTAGAATCATTACCAATCGTCAGCAATGAATCGTTCGCAATCGAATTTCCTAACAGCCTTTCAAAATATGAGACACTCACATCATTCAAAGTACAATAAGAAAGATTAGTAAAAGTGTTATCAGTATCGGTTTCTGAAATATGAGTTATATCGTTAGAGTCACCTAGAGCTATGTTAATTGACGCCTCGTGTGATAACGTGAGAAAATTTAAAAAATCTTGCAAACCCGTTTTTTCTGCATGATTATTGTTAAGATCAATTTCTGCTAATATATTATTCGTTCCACTTTCCAAATCTGGGTCGTGTTGATGTACAGTGAATGTCACGTTCGAGTTTTTTCCAATGCCAGTTAAGGTATTGTTAATAGCATTAGCATTGTGTGAGGCTATAGTAATGGGGGAATGCACTGTATTCAATTTTTCTTCTTTTTCTTTTTTAAGATGTGTAAGATATTCATAATCATCTGCAACAAGTAAATCAATTTCGTAAGTACCTATACAAATAATTAACATAAACGAAAGACAATAAGAAATATCTGGGACCTATTTTCTTTAAATCATAATTTTATTGTGCATATTACTTATTATATTTAAATGTTTATTAATGTAACGTACCACTCTCAGTCAGTATTTTGGCTGGATATCGACCGCCATCGGTGTATTTTGCGCAGCACGTGTCTCCATGTCTAGAGGTTATGCGCGATTTTCCACATATATAATATATCCCGTCTTCAAATTGTAATAATAGAAACATGCTTTTATTATTTATCACTTTTACCCTGTTACTCTTTCGCATACTTACTATAAGAAGCTTTTGTTTGGCATGTAGCACACGAAGCAAGTGTAATTTGTAAGCGTGAGTTTCACAATGGGCCCTACTAGTTGAACGCACAAAACCAGTAGAAAAATATGGCCGTTTCCTGTTCCGATAACCGCCAATGCACGTAATGGGGAACTGGACTGCGACGGGAATTCAAAAACTGTCTAAGTAAATAACTAGAATATGATCGTAAAATGCCAGAACGCTGATTAGATAATGTTTTTATTACTTAAATGTTAAGAAAATCAGTATTAAAATTTGCTAAAATATTGCTATAAAGCGCGGGAGCGAAAACACTTTGTGATTGGTCGTGACGTTACGAACCTCATATCCTTATATGGAGTTTACTTTATAGCCAAATAGCCAATGAGAAATGCTCGTATTCGAGCTTCGCCAGATGGCGACGAATGGTCGGCGTTATAAGATATTATTTAAAGTTTACTCACTAATCCGCAAGACGGTAGTACCGAATATCAGGTTTTGAGGGCCATTTTGTCACGTGATTCAACAGGGCGTTTGAACTGCTATTTGTGCAACACGATTGTCCTTCTAGTGATTGTCTCTAACTAGTACACTTTCAGAACAGGAGTACTAAGGGATTAGCTAAACTGTGTCGTTACAATATAAATATGTATATACTGGCATATTTTAGGACTTCCCAACAAATGACGACGTATTTCGCTACTCCTAAACAATTGACAGTTTTCAGGACACTATAAAAAATGATTCTGTTTAGAATTCCTTTGCTAAAAAAAAAACGGTATTTCGTATATCTACTGCATATGTATACATAATTACACAGGCTGATGTGATAAGTGCATATTTCTAATATTTCGTGAAATCATAGAGATTTTGACATTTACATTCTGAAAGGTGACGATAAACATTTCTGATTCTACAAAAAATTAAAAATTAGTTTGATTGCATCAGCCATTTGTTCGTCCATCGTTAATTTGGTCTATCATCATTATGGTGTGTAGTAGTTGCATATAGTATTATTTTTTTAGCAGTGAAGCCCAGGAAACAATCATTTCATGTAGAGTCCTAAAAACTACCAATTATTTGGAAGTCCTGAAATGTGCCAGTGGATACTTTTTCTCGTACATATCAACATCAATTTTATAAAACAAAGAATTGTTTGGTTCATGTTGTATTCATTTAGCACGCTTTTTTTTAATTATAGAAAAGTATTTGTAAGTTGTTGTGAAGTAATAAAACGAACTAAATAATTCTTTATAGAAAGATATCGAATTTTAGTTGTGTTCTCTCCCTCTCCCTCTCCCTCTCCCTCTCCCTCTCTCTCTCTCTCTCTCAGACTAACGCTCTGTGACGAGAACAGCTACTACCCCAATAAGAAACGAGAAGGAGCTACGGGACTTCCGGTAGTGGGAATGAGATAGACTTTTCGATTATCCATCTTCGTCAAACAGCGTTAGTAAGACAAAAAGAGATATATGCGACGTGGTGGCTAGGAACAAGTGTCCCAACGTCTAACGCATTGAAGCGTCCTACGGTGCGTCCTTTTCGCACAGCACGAGTATAAGCGAGACGGCAATAGGTCCCTGAGTCGCCCCTATTCACAATACGTTAGACGCTGGGACAGTTGTTCCTAGCCACCACGTCGCATGTATCTCTCTTTGTCTTACTAACGCTGTTTGACGAGAATGGATAATCGAAACGTCTATCTCATTCCCACTACCGAAAGGTCCGTAGCTCCTTCTCGTTTCTAATCGGGGTAGTAGCTGTTCTCGTCATAGAGCGTTAGTCTGAGAGAGAGA